ACCAGTCCTGTGCAAATCCGGCTGGCTACATGGAAAATGCGGAATCTGCTTGGCATCTCTGGATTTCCTGTTGCCCAAGCTGCTCACATGTCACCGGCTCGAAGCTCCTTGTACTTTCTATAAGCCTCCTCTTGCTTTACCCCATCTGCTTCCACATTTGACTGGAGGGTCTCGATGAGCTCTATGGCCTTCAAGCCCGTGAAACGTGTCAACTCGACTCTCGCAACTCAACCCTTTCAATGAGCCTTGTTGAGGGGGCTTCCAGTCACGTTGCCGAGCACCTTCACAGGAATAGCAAAGAAACACCTTTTCAAACGTGGTCTTCTGGTCTTCCAACAAATGTCTTTCCGAAACAGTTTGCTGTCGGGGCTCTTCTTAGGAAAAAAACACTGGCCACGGCCTTTGGCCGCGCCCCTGAGCCCTTGTCCGGGCGTTGTCCTCCTGTCCTCTGGCCGCGCTCGCAAAACCCTATGTCCTCCTCTTGTCCTCCTCATTTCCTCTTGCGCTGGTGATGATGGCCGTGGCCGCGCTGTGGGCCCTTCTCTGCCTTGTCCAGGCGTTGTCCGGCCGCGACGTGGGCCGGGTGCCGTGGGCCTTTCTTCTGCACCTTGTGAGGGCTTTGTCCAGGCCTTCAGGCCTTGTCCGGATCCGTCTGTCCTGTTTGCCCGCGTTGTTGGCCCTTGTATCAGCGCCTTGTCCGAGCCTTGTCCTCTCCACCGCCTTGTCCGGGTATATTTGCGTGCGGCTATGAACGGAACAGTGAGATAGCGTATTCGGTATCATCCGATTGTCAATTGTATCATAACATAAATATCCATCGTTTTTGCACATGTGACCCAGGAATCAGGCTGACATGCCATTCCCAAACAGCTGGAGGCTATACGAATATAATTACCGACATTACCACCACCAACATGGAATTCAAGGAGTTTACACCGAAAACTGAAACTGTTTGGAGTCTATGTCTATGCTGGCATAATTGATCATTTCGATTGCTCACTTGGTTGTTACCTTGCGTGTTCGTCGGGCACGTCCCCATCTGTCAAGCACTTGTGCCCTCCGCGAACCTGGCAACACCCCAGCAAGGCTAGCAGGCAGCGCATCACTACATTGAATGAGTATGAGCCAAAAAGGCTGAGGTGTTGAAGCACTCAGAAAATCGGAGCATGGAGTGGACAAACGCCGTAGAACGTATGGTCAAAATCAGGGATCCATAGAACGGGTGGAACGTTTTCAGGGTTGCAATGACTTTCCGGAACCCTCACGAATGCAGTGCACTCAGCAAGAGAAAATCTCAGAGCAACTCTATATTACAGTACATATGCAAATATTATATACAGTAAACAACTAAACCATGAAGCCTGTGATTCACCTGATGCCAGGAAGGGCTGTGCTAAACTTGTTGAATCTCCACACTGCCTTGCTTCAATCATCAACGAAACCAAATTTCAACAGCTTGCGGCAATGGCGTCACAATGACGGTGATTTGTCGTCGGAACTGCCTGCTGCTTGAGGCTCAAGTGCATGATGAGGCCACGAGACCGCACACCGCACACCCGATCGCTAGACCAGCAGGTAGTTCTACGATGTGTCGACTCTTGTCTGCCAACAGCCATGTTGCTTAAACAATCTTAAACAAGACTTTCCTACGGAGAAATACGGAGAAGGCCAAGAACAAGTTTCCTCTTATGATATATAATGTCCAGTGTATCTGTGGACCTTGATCCTCTGGCACAGGCGGGCTTTCATGTCCAAAAGGCGCTGGACTGTGCAGGAACAACGTCGAGCTGCAACCCTTGATCCTCTAGCACAGGCTGGCTTTCATGTCAAAGAGTCTCGGGATTGTGCAGGAACATCCACAAGGTCAAACAGCAATATCCACTGCTCAGGGGCTTTGTATCTTCGGCCTTTTCCATGATCAGTCGCTTGCGGAAGTCTGCAGGTCACATGGGAAAATAAAAGGGCAGCCATTTGAAGAATAGCTTTGAGCCCTTAGGGCCATGGGCTATCCTTGGAAAACCAGCCAACTACAAAATGTCGCTGCTGCACATGATGTGCGTGAAGCGAAGGCTGCGGATGGTTCTGCTACTGTTGCGCGGCAAGACTGCAGCAACATGCAGCAACCAGCTCTCAAATCATCCTCTCTCTTGCACTGTCCGCCCCGTCTCCTGTCATGCTCTTTTCTTCTTGCAGTCGGCGTGCCTAGGTATCAATCAACCTCCATGCCAAAAACTACTGTAAAGCACAGCACTAACTTGTTAAGCAAGACTTGATAAAAGCATCTTTCTTTTCATGTTTTTCCCTCGTGCTCTTTCTGCCATGTTGCATGGTAGTGGTGATGATGAACAACAAGTGTTCCGCTGTGGTAGTCTGCGGTTCCACTGTGGTATCCACCCGCATCGCCCACAGATCCCGAGTGGTAGTGGTGGACGTGGTGGACAATGGTCGCAGGGCTTAAGTGAGAGATGTGGTAGTGACCCGTGGCATGACCGGTGGTGTAGTGATGACTGTAGTACTCAGGTCCCATGTGCGACGTGACATGCGTGACAACTGTCTTTGTAAGATGACCTGAGTGGTCGCCTGGGCAGCCTTTGTTCTCGTGACTGCAGCACCAGGACTTTTTGGCAGAAGACCACCCTGAATTCCAATTGCTGTAGCCCGCATTGCAGTCATAGATGTGTTGAACTTTCACATGACGGGTCTTGTAAATGACCCGGTTCTTCACTATCGTTTTTGATGGCATTGGGACTGGCACCTTGATGGTTTTTCCGGGGTCTCTGATCTTCACAGGCACACGCACAGTGTGATACTTCGGTGGAGTAGGCTGCGGCACAGGCACCGGCACCTTCTTGTGCAAATACTTTGGGACCACATGAGGTTTGCCAGGCACCGGCACTTTGATGACCTTTGGTGGATCATGGATCGGCACATTCACCACCTTGTTGACGACCGCAGCTGGAGGTGCTGGGATAGGCACATGAACGGGTACTGTGATGTGCTTGACCTTCGTGATGGTGTGGTAATGGGGTCTGTAAGTCACCTTGGTGTGGCAAGCAATGTGCCGCAGGTAGCAGCAGTAGCGCTGCTTCTTTGGGGTCCACGTATGCTTGTAGTCGGTCAGGCCTGAGTCACAATCGTAGGCATGTGTGTGCACCATCAATTTGTGTGTGATCACTTTGCGTGGTGGAGCAGGAATAGGCACCGGCACGGTGTGGGGAACCGGCACGTCCTTCACCTGAGTGTAGTACTGATCATGCACCACAAGTGTCTGAGGCCTTGGAGCAACCGCAGCCACACAAAAGTGAGCATACCCCTGGGCACAACAAGTCTGGCGAATAGACACGGCGCCTGCATCTGTCCGTGCCATGAAGGCAGGTGAGTAGGTTGTCATGCACTGATTCGGCGCGTCAAAGGAAGTCATCCACCAGTTGTTGGCAAAACCAATGGGTAGAAGAAGAGCAAGGATGAAAAGGAAGCAACCCAGCGCCACACAGCAAGCACGGCACCTGTAACCTGTCACTTGAGCATGTGTCTGCTTCTCGAACGAGCCCTGTCCATGGCCCACCATCTGCATTTGAGTAGCCTGAGCATAGCTCCCGCGTCCATCACCCACATAGACCCATTTCTCTTCGGTTTGCAAAGTGGCAGGGTCAGCTTCAAAAAAGCATTCACCACATGGATCGACCTCGGCGCCTGCGACCCCACCGCGGTCGCCGGCGATCACAACGCCTCCCCTGGCACCATATGAGCCCGAGCCATATGCATAAGCCCCGTGCATATCCATGGCTCACAGCGACAAAGACAAGGGATCAAAGGCTGGCCGAAAAAAAAAGTGTTTTTACCCCAAATGGATGGACCATGAAACCTTTTGCGGCGAATCATTGCACCCTGTCAGGTTTCTCTGCAAGGGACAGCCAAAACCGACCCCTAGCAACACGACATTTGAGCCAGATCACAGGTCACGTCGGAACATTCGTGAGCATCCTGAGAATTTATGTGACGCAGGCATGACACATTTGCACTGCTACGAGCTGGCAGCTGGCCAACATAACGCTCGCCAAACGCGGCCCGCACGCTCTTTTTGTATCTATCTAGGGCATCAGTAAAAACTCACTCTGGCGCCATCTTGCGCCTTGCTATATGTACACAATATGTGCGTAATTGTGACATTGGTCTACCTGTGTGTTGCCTTATGTACTGTATACATCCTTTGTGAACCTCTGACTGCAAAGATCTTCGTCTCCGCAGCCTGCACACTTGACAACCCCGAGGCGGGCATCACTAGTCAAAAAAACAAAGGAGTCAGAAAGGCTGGGAAAGGTGTGGGGAACGCCTACAAATCTAAGTGGGGAGTGTGGGCAGGTCTGCAACGTGCAACCTGCGGAAAGCGTGTGCAGCTGAAAAGCTTTCGGTGTGCTTGTGCCTTCGCTTCCAGGGAAACTGAAAGAAGCTGTACACCAATGAAGCCTATGACGCCTATCATTCACCTGGTGCCAAGAAGGACATTGCCAAATTTGATCAAATTTGATAAACCTTGAAAGATGGAGCATGGAACTTGTCCTGCCAAAGAATTGCTGGACATCTTTGGCTCCTTGTACTTCATACAGCGTGGCCATCTCTCCTCAGAAGGTTGGAATGCGCTAGCACGATGAAGAAAGTCAAGAAACTCAGCACCGAGCAACGCTGTTTTGCTTCAAACATCTTCAAACATCAATGACACATAACGAAACCAAATTTCAACAGCTTGCGGCAATGGCGTCACAATGACGGTGATTTGTCGTCGGAACTGCCTGCTGCTTGAGGCTCAAGTGCATGATGAGGCCACGAGACCGCACACCGCACACCCGATCGCTAGACCAGCAGGTAGTTCTACGATGTGTCGACTCTTGTCTGCCAACAGCCATGTTGCTTAAACAATCTTAAACAAGACTTTCCTACGGAGAAATACGGAGAAGGCCAAGGACAAGTTTCCTCTTATGATAATGTCCAAGTGTATCTGCAACCCTTGATCCTCTGGCACGGGCGGGCTTTCATGTCCAAAAGGTGCTGGACTGTGTAGGAACAACGTCGAGCTGCGACATCCACTGCTCAGTGGCTGTGTATCTTCGGCCTTTTCCGTGATCAGTTAAACTTGCGGAATTCTGCAGGCCACTAGTTCAATTAAGTGCTGTCAGGCGAAGAACTACATTGAGTTCTTGAAGCCATCAGCTGATCCTGGAAAGGACACTCAGCCAAGCAAACAATGTCAACACAGCACAACAAGATGTACAGCAAAATGAGGTACTGTTTGCTAGTCTACAATTTGGTTTGCTCGAACTCTTCACTACTCACAGTGACATAGCAATTTCTTCCATGATCCTCCATGTATGTCACATGTGCTCTAAGAGAATCTGCCGACTATTTGATCAACTGAAATCATTGAAGAATGCATTTGCAATTTGCTTAACTATCACTAATCTCGCCGGCAATCATTGCTCAAATGTGCACCCTCCATCCTCCTGCCTGCAGGTTGTGGTCAGTGGTGATGGACCACATGGATTTCGTGGTGAACGTGCGTGAAAGACCCTCCGTGAGCGGAGAAAGAGCCTGCGGCACCTGCACTTGAGGCAGAACCTGCTGTGGCGGCTGCACCGCTCGCTGTGGCATGGGTGTAGTGGACTGTCACGTGTGTGGCATGTCCTGCGACACCTCCGGCACTTCCCGGGCAGCCCACCTTGTTGTGTGCGCAGCACCATGTCTTTTTCGGGGCAGACCAGCCAATCTTCCAATTCACCACGCCAACATTGCAATCATACGGGAGACTTGCAGGCCCCAGGGCTCCTCCACCAGCAACCACCTGCCAGGTCCAGTAGCCGTTCACCTGCACATGCTTCCACTTCATGCCTGCACCAGGATCCACCTTGGGAGGGCTGTTGCCTTCACAGCCCTTACCACGATTGTTGCAGCACCACTGCTTCTTTGGTGGAGACCAAGCACGGAAGAAGTTGTTCAAAGCGGCATCGCAGTCATAGGGATCCTTCGCGACTGCAGTCACCGTGCACCCAGCTGCTTCCACAGTGCATGAGCGGCACACATCACATTCCACCTGGCATGAGCTGCGCATTTGACCCGGGCCTAGGTGCACCCCTGCATACCTTTCAAATCTTTTCAACCCCGAGTCCAATTGCAAGTACCAATACTGGTACATGATTGGACATGGCAGCCCGCCTGAATCTGGCTGTACGCCAGCGTGCACGCGTTGCCCTTGCCTCCAAAAACGTGGTCTCGGGCCCAGTGGATCCGCTCCTGCTTACTTGTTTCTAATAGCTTCTTGTTACTAGTAGTAAGGCCAGGAGCCCCTACTAGCGTCCTTGTTCCTAGTAGCGCCAGGATCCCCTACTAGCGTCCTTGCTCCTGCTTACTACTTATATACTTGGTTGACCATGATTACGCGGTGTGCGTCAAAACACTCAAGTACGTGTCACTGCAAAAGTGCGTGTCACTGCAAAAGTGCGTGTCACTGAAAGCCAGCAAGCGCTCCTGACAAGTGGAGGTCTCGCCATGGATTTCGCAAGGGGTTCGGCATCCTAAAGCAGACAAGGTGGTTTGTGGGCAGCCCCTCTGGAAATTGCCACAGCACCAGTCTCGCTTCTCACTTGACCATGTTCTGACATCAGTGTTGTCGCAGCCGTGAAACTTCACGCAGCCCTTTGACTCCTTGCTGCAGCACCACTTCTTCTTGGAATCTGACCATCCATGAAGCCAATTCGAGAAGCCGGCTTCACAATCATAAATACGCCCTGTGGCATGACCCACATGCGCCACGTGAAGCTCACCGTGCCCTTGGATGAAGCCGTGCCAAGTTCCAGGACATCCTCTTTTCTCATGTGTGCAGCAATAATGCTTCTTGTAGTTGGACCAGCCGTAGTACCAATTGGAGAAGCCACTGTTACAATCAATGTCGATCGTGTGGTGTACTGTGACGTCTTTGTAGATGGTTTGCGGTGGAAGCTTCACTTTTTGATGCACGAGCTTTGTATGATAAATGGTCTTGGTGTGGTACACTGTATGGGAGTGTGGGCAGCCAATGCTCCTCCGCCAGCAGCAATAGAGACGCTTGGAGTGGGACCAAGCGTCTTGCCAACTGTGCAAGCCATCGTCGCAATCATAAGCATGCGAAACAACCTTGTGCGTGTGGTAAACGACTTTTGGAGGACTTGGCACCGGCACCGGCACCTTCACATACTTGACGTTCTTGATTGGAACAGGGATCTTCTCAGTCTTGTGCACGACTACCGGAGTTGGCACAGGCTTGTTGTACTTGATCACTTTGGTGATGACTTTGGGGTCGGGAGAGGGCTCTCTCACGGGGTATGGGACCTTCACAACTTTGCGGGGTGGGGGTGGCATTGGCACTGGCACTTTGATGACCTTTGGAGGAGGTGGAGGCAAATGAACAGGGATGGGCTTCGGCACAGGCACTGGGATGTTGTGGTTCTGCACTATGGTGTGGTAGCGCAAGTGGTGGATGGTTTTTGTTGTGCATGCCCGGCTGTACTTGTAGCAGCAATACCTCTGCTGGTCCTGTGTCCACTGTTTCCAGCTGTGGAAGCCACTGAAGCAGTCGTAGACAGGCTTCGCAGGCACTGACATGGACTTGTGAATCACTTGACCTGGAACAGGAACAGGATCATGGATGACATGGGTTTGAGTCCGCACGGAGTACAAGTTCTTTTCAATGACATGGTGGACGGGTGCTCCTTGAACTTGAGCTCCTTCAACAGGGTGATAAACATGGTAGTCTCCACCATGAGCGGCCTCAACCCACACGCCTTGATGGTTGTAATGTCCGAAGTGTCCGCCAACCCAAGCATCATGTGGGTAAGTCATGCCAACCCAACCTCCATTCTGATCATAATGCCCATAGTGTTCACCATACCAAGCATCATGCGGGAACTGCTGGTCGAGCCAAGTGCCAGCATGGTCGTAATGACCGTAGCGTCCATCCACCCATGTATTGAAACTGTTGCCATCAAGCCCGGCCACTAAACCATACTGCCCACCCGGAATGTACGACCCCTGGTTGCCATAAACGTTGTTGTGGATGTATTGCGCTCCATTCCAGTGGCCTGTGGGCTCTACACCATTCTCGACAAACTCGCCACCAAGTCCGCTAATGAAATGGCTGCCTCCACCGAATCTGCCACTGTTGTGCTCGAAATCTGTTTCACCGCTATACACCGTCCCTCCTCCCACAGTGCCGTCGCCTTCACCAACCACCTCTCCGTTAATGGTGCTACCACTACCATTGGCAACTTCTGCTCCCACACTGCTGTCACCACTCTCGGCCACTTCTCCTCCAGTGGTGCTGTCGCCATCCAGCAATTCTCCTCCAGCGGTGCTGTCGCCACCATCTGCAACTTCTGCTCCCACACTGCTCTCACCACCGTCGGCCACTTCTCCTCCAATGGCGGTGTCGCTGCCATCCAGCACTTCTCCTCCAATGGTGCTGTCGCCTCCATCTACATTTTCTGCTTCCACACTGCTTTCGCCTCCGTCGGCCACTTCCCCTCCAGTGGTGCTGTCGCCGCCATCTACATTTTCTGCCCCCACATTGCTGTCACCACCGTCGGCCACTTCTCCTTCTGTCTCACTGGCTTCTTGGAGTCGTCGGGCCTAGGTATCGACGGCTAGCTTGTGTTATCTTTCGAGAAATCCACCCAAGGAGACTCTTCAAAAGCACTCACCCAAGGAGACCTTACAAAAGCGTTCAAATCCCTCTCCCAGTTTCCCTGCTAACCCGGGCTGTTTGATTCCTTACGATCCCAGGGTTCAAGTAACAATTATCCCGGCAAGAGGCCCCAAACAGTGTGTGTGTGTGAGGTCTATAAGCAGACAGTCTAAAGTCTAAAGATCTAGACACATTGGGGTTCAAAGGGGTGATGGTGGTGATGAAGGTGGGGATCGTGGTGACGGTGGCGGTGCTGAGTGAGTGTGAGTGTGCGTGTGCGTGAGAGTGGGAGGGGGAGGGGGAGGGGAGGGAGAGGGAGAGGGAGAGAGGGAGAGAGGGAGAGTGAGGGTGGGTGAGTGTGTGGGTGAGGAGTGAGTTTGAGTGGATGAGAGTGAGTGTGAGTGAGGGTGAGAGTGTGAGTGTGAGTGAGAGTGGGAGAGTGAGAGTGTGAGGGAGTGTGAGTGTGGGTGAGAGTGAGTGTGAGTGAGAGTGAGCTTGAGTGAGAGTGAGTGTGGGTGAGAGTGAGAGTGAGTGTGAGTGAGAGCGAGCGTGAGTGAGAGTGTGAGTGCGAGCGAGTGTGAGTGTGAATGTGAGTGAGGGTGAGTGTGAATGTGAGTGTGAGTGAAGAGTGAGTGTAAGTGTGAGAGTGAGAGGTTCACCAGCGCTGTGCCCGCCACGAAATCTGCACTCCGAGGTTCACCAAGGGCTGTACCTGCCACGAAATCTGCGTGTCGAGGTTCACCAAGTGCCGTGCCTGCCACGGAAATCAACGTGCTGTGCCTATCACGAAATCTGCGCGTCGAGGTTCACAAAGTGCTGTACCTGTCACGAAATCTGCACTTCGAGGTTCACAAAGTGCTGCGCCTGCCACGAAATCTGCACATCGAGGGTCACAGAGCCGTGCCTGCCACGCAATCTGCAAACGAGCCACATGTCCAAAAGTCACGATTCACTGCACCTGTCACGAAATCTGAGCCCCTCGACGATCACCACCATGTCCAACCACGAAAACTGCATTTCGAAGTAAAACAGCTCCGATCCCTTGCACCTGTCACGACAAGTCGGCTTTGAAGCACCAAAACACGAGGTTTCCCTTGCGCCTGCCACGAAAAGTGACCACCATGTGCGAAAATGCGCGCGGCGCCACAACGAGAGCGCAGTCGTCAGAACCGACGCCCAGATTCACCGAGCCTGTGCAGTCGAAATGCACTTCGAAGATTTCGAGAGGCGTGAATGTGCTGTAAATAGCAGCGAAGGAGCTGCACGCGCCCGCGCGCTTCAGCGATCTAAGCATCGGCTGCCTTTCACTCACCGTAAGAACCCCTAGTGTGTCCACACTGTTTAGGAAAAATCAATTACTCTACTTCGAGTGGTCCCCACCCCGAACGGCTATTTGGAAGAAGGCAAGGCGCATGTCGATCTTGACTAACCTGGCAAAGGCGCACGCGCGGATTGGCGCAGTGTTCTGACGCTTGTTCAGGCATTGCTTCTGGCGGGAGTGCCGCTGCAACCTGGCTTGCAGTTGAGGCCCGTAAGTGCCCACTGTGATCTGGAGCTTGCAGTTGAAGAAGTGCCCACTGCGATCTGGCTTGCTGTTGAGGCCAGTCGCGCCCACTGCGATCTGGTTTGCTGTTGAGGTTCGGGGGCGCCCGCTGCGATCTGGAGCTTGGTGTTGAAGTGCGGTAGTGCCCACTGCGTGCGGTCTGGCCCTTGCTGTTGAGGTCTGGGAGTGCCCCACTGTTGAGAGAGCTTGCTGTTGAGGGCCGGTGGCGCCCACGAGATCTGGCGCTTGCTGTGGAGGTCGGGAGTGCCCACTGCGATCTGGCGCTTGCTGTGGAGGTCCAGAAAGTGCCCACTGCCTGGAGTTTGCCGCTGCAATCTGGAGCTGCCAATTGAGGCGAGGAGACACAGATGGAGGTGGGAGCCTCTTCTAAAATCTAGCAACAGCTGACAGGTGGGAAAAATGCTGGAAGAAGGGTTCCTAAAGAACCAATGAAAGACATGGCCTAGAAGAATGGGAACCTGCTTTCAAAAACCCTGGAGCACCAATGAAACAGTACTTTCGGGTTTGCGTCGAGCTCACGGGTTGTCCGAAGAGGAAATTCGCACGGGGATCTTATGACCCATGTTCTTCACTCCTTGTCCCCATGTCATGGGGGTGCCCCAACAAAAGTACGACGACGAATGGCCCTGGGGTGAAAAGGGATGATTAAATACAAAGGTTTGTTCAGTAAGAAGATGTGAGTGAGGAGAGCTGCCCAGAGAAGTAGCATAGAAGATCATAGAAGTGTTGAAAGCTGAGTGCAGGCGAAAGAAGTCAAACATCGGCAGCGTGCAGCGCGCCCACATTCGCGCAAACACTTTTCTGGCCCTGAAGGTGGGTGCTCTTGTGTAAAGCCCAAGGGCACCAGCATAACTACACGTGAACGTGTCCTTGCTCACCATCTTCTATTTATCCTTCTTCTTTTCTGTCTTGTTCTTCTCTCCTTCTTCACGCTCTATGTTATCTCATGATGGTGTGAGAGCCATGCGGGTGACCAAATGTGACCTGGGCCAGTGGCATCTTCGTCATGAAGACGCAAATGAGTTCTTCAAAACAGCCACTGGCCAGCAATCCTGCAATAATGGGATGGCGGCGTATTCCGGCTCACTTCTAAGGCTTCTAAAGTATCGCGTCGCAGGCATCGAATGGCATGCCAACTTGCGATGCACACCCTCTGTCACATACTAGAAGCAACAAATTTGACTCCAAGCTTCACTGACACCACAGCCCATCCCGCTCACCAGCACCACGCTGGTTTACACTGGCATGTTTCCCCTTCCCCAACAGCGCGGACCCACGCAAACCCACTTTCTACCAAGGTCTGACCGCAGGGCACGGCGACATCACGCTTCGAGCTACCAGGTGCCGCGTGCTACATTACAACCCCCCTCACACTTAAAAAGCACACACACAGATTCTTTACCTCAGTTTCGGGGCTTGGACACGCACGATCCTTGTAAAGCCTCAGTTTCGACACACGTGGTCCTCGCAAAGGGTTATGCAAGCGCTCACAAAATTTGCATTCTACATCAGTTTCGAGACTTCCATAAGCACAATCGTCGCAGAAGGTTCGATTTCATGGTGTCTGGTCCCCCCCGCCCTCGCCTAGGAAAGGGAAGAGAAAAGAGGAGAGGAAATGTGATGATGTGAGAGGTGATGTGAGATGCGAACATGTTATTATCAAAGGAAGTTTAGTGTGCAAAACTTCCGTGTTACGGACATTCAACAGCTGTTCAATACAGCACTCATCATACACCACTCATCATACACCACTCATCATACACCACTCATCATACACCACTCATCATACACCACTCATCATACACCGCTCATCATACACCACTCATCATACACCACTCATCATACACCACTCATCATACACCACTCATCATACACCACTTATCATACACCACTCATCATACACCACTCATCATACACCACTCATCTCATCATACACCACTCATCATACACCACTGGTGAGATGACTCAGATTTCGTGGCAGGCGCAGCACTTTGTGAACCTCCATGTGCAGATTTCGTGGCAGGCACAGCACTTTGTGAACCTGCAGGTGCAGCACTTTGTGAACCTCCAGGTGCAGATTTCGTGGCAGGTGCGCACTTTGTGAACCTCCATGTGCAGATCTCGTAGCAGGCACAGCACTTTGTGAACCTCCATGTGCAGATTTCGTGGCAGGCACAGCACTTTGTGAACCTCCAGGTGCAGGTTTCGTGGCAGGCGCAATACAAAATGCATTTTGGAGAGATAGCGGACGCACGAAATGCTATATTTTTCAATAGAACCGGTGGCTTCAAACCTGGCAAGTCTAGCTCTGCGGAACGACGGGTGCGAGACGGTCTCGGGTCATGCTCGGATCATGGTCGGAATCGTCCCTCCATTGGGATTAGAGTTTTCACTTGTTTCTTGAAGTGCAGATTTCGTGGCAGGCACAGCACTTTGTGAACCTCCATGTCCAGATTTCGTGGCAGGTGCAGCACTTTGTGAACGTCCATGTGCAGATTTCGTGGCAGGCGCAACACTTTGTGAACCTCGAGGTGCAGATTTCGTGGCAGGCGCAGCACTTTGTGAACGCCCATGCGCAGATTTCGTAGCAGGCACAGCACATTGTGAACCTCCAGGTGCAGATTTCGTGGCAGGCGCAGCACTTTGTGGAGCTCCATGTGCAGATTTCGTGGCAGGTGCAGCACTTTGTGAACCGCCAGGTGCAGATTTCGTGGCAGGCGCAGCACTTTGTGAACCTCCATGTGCAGATTTCGTGGCAGGTGCAGCACTTTGTGAACCTCCATGTGCAGATTTCGTGGCAGGCACAGCACTTTGTGAACCTCCAGGTGCAGATTTCGTGGCAGGCGCAGCGCTTTGTGAGCCTCCATGTGGAGGTTTCGTGGCAGGCACTGCTGAGAACTGGCGACTTTCTAGTACAACTTTAGTACGCGGAGCAATCTGTAGAGCTGGAAGCTGAGAACTGGCGACTTTCTAGTGCAACTTTAGTACGCGGAGCAATCTGTAGAGCTGGAAGCTGAGAACTGGCGACTTTGTAGTGCAACTTTAGTACGCGGAGCAATCTGTAGAGCTGGAAGCTGAGAACTGGCGACTTTGTAGTACAACTTTAGTACGCGGAGCAATCTGTAGAGCTGGAAGCTGAGAACTGGCAACTTTCTAGTACAACTTTAGTACGCGGAGCAATCTGTAGAGCTGGAAGCTGAGAACTGGCGACTTTCTAGTACAACTTTAGTACGAGGAGCAATCTGTAGAGCTGGAAGCTGAGAACTGGCGACTTTGTAGTACAACTTTAGTACGCGAAGAAACCTGTGGAGCTGGACGCTGAGAACTGGCGACTTTGTAGTACAACTTTAGTACGCGGAGTGACTGGGGAGCTGGAGGCTGAGAACTGGCGACTTTGTAGTGCAACTGTAGTACGCGGAGCAACCTGTGGAGCTAGAAGCTGAGAACTGGCCACTTTGTAGTACAACTTTAGTACGCGGAGTATCTGGGGAGCTGGAGGCTGAGAACTGGCGACTATGTAGTACAACTTTAGTATGCGGAGCAACCTGTGGAGCTGGAAGCTGAGAACTGACCATTTTGCAGTACAACTTTAGTACGCGGAGGAGTCATCTCTTGCGACTGAGTCATCTCTCGCTGCTGAGTCATCTCTTGCTGCTGAGTCATCTCTCACTGCTGAGTTATCTCTTGCTGCTGAGTCATATCTCGCTCCTGAGTCATCTCTCGCTGCTGAGTCATCTCTCACTGCTGAGTCATCTCTCGCTGCTGAGTCATCTCTCGCGACTGAGTCGTCTCTCGCTGCTGATTCATCTGTGGTTGCTGAGTCATCTCTCATTGCTGAGTCATCTCTCGCTGCCCACTCCTCATACACCACTCATCATACACCACTCAACATACACCACTCATCATACACCACTCGTCATACTCCCCTCATCATACAAGACTCATCATACATCACTCATCATAACCCAACACTGGTTACAGTTGATTGTTTTGTCAACAGGTAAGTTTGTACTGAAGGTTGAAGTCCGGAGCGCGTGCGTTTGACTGGGGGACGCGCGTGTTTGAGAGAACCGGAACACTCCTATCGGTCAATTTGTTCTTATAGGAAACTTCCGCCGCCGGCTTGCCCGGGAACTGCTTGTATAAGGATGATTGAGCAACCTTTAATACCCTTCGCTCAGGCCCAGTCGGGGAAAAAAAACAGAAGTTCGATTCTGACCGGCATGAATTCTGCCAGGCTTCATGGTAGTAGTGGTGATGAACAACAGTCGTTCCACTGTGACTGTGGTACCCAGCGGTTCCGCTGTGATCCCCAGTAGTTCCACTTCCACCATGGTATCCACCCGCGTGGTAGTGGTGGACGTGGTGGACAACGGTCGCAGGGCTCACGTGGGAGATGTGGTAGTGACCCGTGGCATGACCGGTGGTGTAGTGATGACTGTAGTACTCAGGTCCCATGTGCGACGTGACATGCGTGACAACTGTCTTTGTAAGATGACCTGAGTGGTCGCCTGGGCAGCCTTTGTTCTCGTGACTGCAGCACCAGGACTTTTTGGCAGAAGACCACCCTGAATTCCAATTGCTGTAGCCTGCCTTGCAGTCATAGATGTGTTGAACCTTCACGTGACGGGTCTTGTAAACGACCCGATTCTTCACTATGGTTTTTGGTGGCATTGGTACTGGCACCTTGATGGTCTTTCCAGGGTCCGTGATCTTCACAGGCACACGCACTGTGTGATACTTCGGTGGAGTAGGCTGCGGCACAGGCACCGGGACCTTCTTGTGCAAATACTTTGGGACCACATGAGGTTTGCCAGGCACTGGCACTTTGATGACCTTTGGTGGATCATGGATCGGCACATTCACCACCTTGTTGACAACTTTAGGTGGAGGTGCTGGGATAGGCACATGAACGGGTACTGTGATGTGCTTGACCTTCGTGATGGTGTGGTAATGGGGTCTGTAAGTCACCTTGGTGTGGCAAGCAATGTGCCGCAGGTAGCAGCAGTAGCGCTGCTTCTTTGGGGTCCACGTATGCATGTAGTCGGTCAGGCCTGAGTCACAGTCGTAGGCATGTGTGTGCACCATCACTTTGTGCGTGATCACTTTGGGTGGTGGAGCAGGAATAGGCACTGGCACAGTGTGGGGAACCGGCACATCCTTCACTTGTGTGTAGTACCGATCATGTACCACAATCGTCCGTGGTGTTTGAGTGACAGCCGCAACACAATAGTGAGCATAGCCCCTGGCACAACACATCTGGCGGATAAACAGGGCGTTTGCATCAGTCCTTGCCATGAAGTTGGGTGAGTAAGTTGTCATGCACTGATCTGGTGCATCAAAGTAGGATGCAAAGTAACGGGACCACCAGCCATTGGCAAAGCCGATGGGTAGAAGGAGAGCAAGGAGGAAGAGGAGACATCCCAATACTACACAGCAAGCTCGGCATCTATAGCCCGTCACTTGAGCATGTGTTTCCCTCTCAAAATCACCCCTTCCATGCCCCACCATCTGCATGTGGGTTGCCTGAGCATAGCTCCCATGGCCATCGCCAACATAGACCCATTTGTCCTCGGTTCTCACCGGTTCTTCTGCCTCAAAGCAGCATGCACCACATGAATCAACTTCGGACCCTGCAATGCCACCGCGATCGCCGGTGATCACGACCCCTCCCCTGGCACCAGCACCGGCACCGTTCACCCCACCACCATAGCCCTCATGCATAGCCATGGTTCGCAGCGACGAAGACAAGGGATCAAAGGCTGGCCGAAAAAAAGTGTTTTTGTCGGAATGGATGGTAGACCATGAAATCTTTTTGTTGTTGCATGTTGTCGCACGGATTTTGCTGGAACTGGTTGCGCTCATTTCTGGTTTCATTTCAGTGGCCTAGCAACATGATATTACAATGTGTGAGCAAAAGGCAGGTCAGGCGCGGAAACAGTTTGAGCACTGCCTCTGACCCTGACTTAGTGCGTATATAACTAACTGGCAAAGCCGAACATGTACTTTGCTCAGCTTTGTCCGTGCGCCACGCCAAAGGGTGTGCACACACACATGTCCATTCCAGCAACGTACATACACAAAACTTCCACACGGCGGTTCCTAGTAGCGTCCTTGCTCCTAGTAGTAAGGCCAGGAGCCCCTAGTAGCTTCTTGCTACTAGTAGCGATGCCAGGAGCCCCTAGTAGCCTTTTGTTTGACTGTTGGATCTGTGATAACTCTTGTGATGTGCCAATGTTGCGGGGTTTGTATGGCGATGCTAGCAGCAAAGTGGGTGTAGACGTGGGTCCCACCACCCAGTGTCGCAGCTTCAACACAAAGCCATCCTTGAACTCAACAGGGCCACAGCTCGATGTGTGGCAATCCATGCGCTTTCCTCCATCACAGTGTTCAAAACCCTCGCGACAACATGGCGCAACTACATCTCGCATTGATATGGTGCACATGCACTTTGCTCTCACAATTTCAATGTCTGTTTCTCTCTTCTCCAATTCGATACGTTCTTGCTTCCACAGCTTGCGCAACTTGTATTGTTCTGCAGAGGTGCTTGGCACAGCTGCCTTTTCTTTTCGGTGCTCATGAATTCTGATCTCCATGTGCCGAGTGTTGATTCCGAGTTTTCCACAGCAATATGTTTTTCCTTGAATCGAGTTGTCACACGTGCTGTGTGGGCACTGCTACGTTCTGGCAGCTTCATATGATATCCAACTTCAAGAGGGTGCTGTTGGGGGTTGTGTGTGTGTGTGGTGTCAAACCAAGCCCAATAATCCCACCTGATTGTCGAATCAAAACAGGCTGCTTGGTCACTGCTTGGTGAACCAAAACATGCCAGATGCTAGCATCAAAGAAAACATCTATCTTGCTTCGTTTGGGTTGCTCTCTTTGAGGGACGATCTGCGGTCTCAACTAGCTGCGGAGCGTTCGCTTGGCTCGCTTCATTTGTCGCATGTTTGGTCAAATCTACAGGGTTTTGCAGCCCACGAAACTAGCCTACCGCAGAACATGCTCGGATCTCGAACGCGAGAGAGAATAGAAAGGCGCACCGCACGCAAACAGACACACACATGTACATATATAGATAGGATAGGATGGGATGGGATGGGATGGGATAGGGTAGATAGGAGATAGACAAGATACCAGTAGATAGGTTAATAGGAAAAACAAAAAAATAGAGAAAGTTGCGGAACCGCCAGTTGCCAAACAATTTCAGCGAGAGCATGTGTTTCTAGTGAGTTGTGCACGTGGTAGCAGCAGGAATGATGAAAGGGCAAGTAGGATAAGCGGCTAACAACACTCAATGCATCCATAAGTCCATAATATACAAGTTTGTGCGCCACACTTTTACGCAGCGGCTGGAGGGAGAATCTTCTTGATGTCCTACACCCATGATGCTTCTTTCGAAACATGAGCAAGAGCTGATTGATCAGTGGTCGGCCCGTCCTCCATTAGCAAAGCAATGAGCTCTGGCATCTTGCCATCGGCTGCTGACAGGCAATCCATGTGATCAGCTTCTACCTTAGCAAAAATGATTCAGGATTCAGCTGCCTCGCAACCATTGACACCCAGCGGGACGGATCCCCTTGCACACACTCAGTGAAAACAAAGAGCAGCCCTGCCGACCCAAATGCCAGGAGTTATGAGATGTCATGAGAGTATGGCATGGCGCTATTTCAACTCAAAATACTCTCATCCACTCTATTTCTGAGTTCCCAGCCACTTTCAACTCAAACTTGGAGGATGTGAGGCCTCGCCAGCCTTGACTGACGAGTGCGGTGGCCCTTGGGAACCAACACTTGGTGAAAAAGCATGCTGGGGATGGGGGTGCATTGAGTTCCAACCCCGCAATAGACCATCCATAGCTCATTGGATCTCATAGGCCTTCCATTTTGGTGGCTGTCTCGCCCTTTTCTCTCTCCTGGACACCAAGCGAAAATTCAACGTGCAGCTCGGACCACACCATGCAGCTTCTGCCGCACTCACCGGCTCCTGCGAGCAAGCAAATGCCTGAATGGGTGCCACAATCGCCGCCTGGCTTTCCACAATATGTGGAACATGCGTTATGGTGTGACAACCCGTCGCGATCCGTTTGCTTCCATGCTTGACTCTTCCACCTCTGCCCCGCCCACCACAGTGTCGAGCTCGAGGCTGCCACCTTTCTGAGAAGGTGTGCATGTCCATAACTTAAAAATCAGTACAGTGCCGGTTTCTGTCCCTGCAAAATCTTGCAAACCAGAGCAACCATTACAAACAGTGCACAATCAATTGGTCTTGATCTCTATTTGTTCTTATGTTTTTCTTTCCTGGTCCTCATCTCATCTCGTCTCTTCTGTTCCTCTCTTTCTGATGTCTCCCTCTCCCTCTCTCTATCTCTTCGTCGGACTTACTTTTAAATAATTCTTGTATATCCTTGCCGCCACAATGTGTGCGTGCCTGGGGCGCACGGGGATGCATATTGCTCGCGAACTGTGGCCAGGATCTTCTTGGCAGCGGGTGGCCTCGGACCGAGGAACTTCCATGTCAGCATCAGTGTCTGCACAGAAGTGCATGGGGGCGCTTCTAACACAGCCATGGCTCACTTGTTTCATTGAATATTGAACACTTATGCCCTCAGCCCTCAGGCGGGAGCAATGTCTTCATGCCGGAAGCACTTTCCAGCAGTCGGTTCCTCCAAGCTCCCACCAATCCTGCTCAATCTTTGGCAACTTTAGATGGAGAGAAACGCACCTACCAAGAATGTGTGCTGCAAAATCTTTGGCACACCCAAACAAGATCCGCACTGCACTGGGTTCCTTCCAGCAGCTTGCCCTCGTCAATGCTTTTCATATCTGACGTCTTGCTAACTCCCCAAACCTGACATGGATTGTGCAATATGAGAGCTTGCTCCGTCTGCTCTCATCGTTACAACAAAGACTTTACGGACGTTGGCAACGGCTACTGCATTTAGTCCCACTGAAGCCATTGGACCGGACATGTTTCTCTCCTCGTCGAGCAAGGGCATCGTCGGTGGTCTCCTCCTGGAGACTGGAAACAACCTGCTTTTGACCTCTTTCAATGCTAGTTCTCTTCGGGTGCACCGCGATGCCCTTGACATGCCACAAGTGCAAACGCATGGACTTCAATGCGGTCACCATCTCAATATGGTCCTAGAGCCCATGAGCCCAAAGTCACGGACATTCAAGTCCGACACATCTTCCCACGTGCAGGCCCCCGTAGGCCCCCGAGCGCTGCCACATAAAGCTTCAATACCCGGCAGCCAAGACATCTGGCCAGGCCGTAAGCCTCCATCATGGGGTGGGACAAAAAGACAAACAATAGTTGGATATGCTATTAGCATCATGCTGGGAATTGTAATTTACTTGTGGTTCATGAAGACTACCCTTTGCGTCCTTCTCAAGTGTAGAAAGCCCCGAGGAGGGCTCCAAATCAGACGCTCACGAAAGATCTCGACACTTGGGGTCTCATGAGTCATGTCCAAACAATGCCTGACCCAAAAGGTGGTAAACATCAAGCTGCACTCCTTCATAAAGTACAGAGCTCAGTGAGAATATATACATAAATATATATATATACATATACCAGCCTGGATGCTACCAGCACCACTATCAAGCTTTCCTATCCATTTTCAGAACTACCCGAATATGGAGATTTCATGAGATTTCCAAGGACCTCCTGGTGACCTTGCTGATTCGGCTTTCCTCTCTACACTTTGTCTCGATCCCTGGATTAGATTGGCATGAATTCACCACATTCTCCTAGATGCACAGGATTTCATTGGGGCCAGCTTCTCCTATAATATAAAACCTTCTGGGCATTGGTTATGAATTGCTTCCTCACCACCACCGCTTCACAAAGCTGGGCGAAGCTGGAAACAACCCCCCCAACAGCATCTTTGTGACCCAACGTGTCTTCAAAAAGCTCGTCTGTGCATCAATGTGTTTGTAGACATTATTTTATTGATGCACATGACATGTTCATCTATGGTTTGCCGAGTAAAACCCCTCCGACAGAAGCAAACGGTCTGCATGCCCATTGCCCCAAACTTCCGAAACGTGCGGCAGGCCACACCTGAAGGCAACCATGACTGTGAGCAAAGAGAATTAATGGCCTGCAAGTGCATCGCTACTAGTAGCTAGAAGCTACTAGTAACAAGTGCATCGCTTTTAGCGGCCTCATCATGAAATCAACGACCTCTGTTCGATTTTGGCTTCTCTCATAATGGCCGCCCAACTCGGTGCGGAAGCTCTTGTGCGGTGCTAAAGGCCCTTGGAAGGGACCTGCAGCCTGACCGTTCGCACCCGAAGCCTGCCTGCTGTGCAAGTCCGGTGTCTCGACCTCACATGTTGTGACAATCCACGGATCGACCTGATCGACCTGTTGGATGCTTTGGAATCTGGTTTGCCCCGCTTTCCCACCTGCCTTTGCTTGTTTTCGGTTGGTCTGGCCTGCTGTTGGAGTGCCTGCAGGTACTCTGCCCAATCTTTGCATGACCTGGTGCACGGGCGCACGTTGCTGACCTCCGTCGTTCGCTTCTGCAGTCTCTCTCCCCTCCTCTCTCCCCCTCTCCCATCGCCCTAGTTTCTTCGGCTGCATCCACTAAATTGGTCAGCAACGTGGGTGAAACTTCCGGTGGGTGAGTATTGAGATAGTGTACATGATGCGGCTGGTCTTTGTGTGTTGCCCACACTAGTGTGGGTGCACATGCAGCTGCATCTAGACTAAACAATACTAAACACATGTGGGTGGGTTCACTAAACGGAGAGCATCAATCGGATCAGCTCCCCCCTACCAAACGAAACGTGATGAGCACCATGACCACCATTCCTGATGTTCACCACGCATTTGGCGGCCTTCTGCATGTACATGTCCCCCAAATACTTCCCATGTTCTGGGGGACTTTGCTTGTCCGCTTGGCCTGACTGAGTTCAACGCAGCAGCCTTTAACTTGGCAAATGGTTTTGCAGTCCCCAAGGCAAGAAAAACACGCCCTCCCCCCAACCTGATCACACGGGCTTCACGCTCCTCAGATCCAGGCCGAGGATATAGCGCATGCGCATGCAGCTTCAATCCATGGATTTATTTATAACGCGCTGGCCCCGACAACATCAATGAACTGGGGCTTTTGCCCAAAGGATGCAGATGTTGGTCGAATGCGAATCTTGGTCAGTTAAGGTGGCTCAGTGTTTGAATGGCAAAACGTTTGAAGGATGATTTACTGTAGCTATCCAGCACAACAGCAGTTGAAGCACATGCTGCAACAGCAATAAAGGCAGCAGGTTCGTGGCCAACAGCCACTGGCCCATTGGTACTCACAGCGCAAGGCGTCGTCCTGGCCGTAGAGCTTCCAACCCTCTTGCCGTCGCACCTCCACCGGGAGGTATGGTACGAGCAAATGCGCGTGGGTCACCCGTTCCGGAAACTCGTGCATGACCGCCATGGCATGTGAAGAACCGAAGCTCATTCCTGCTACCATGAACTGTCCAGTGATGTTCTCCTTCTCGAACACTGGCCTTACGTCTTGCCGGGGCCAATCACCGATTCTCCTCGACGGATGATTGGAGGAGAAGCCATGGCCCGGCAAGGAGATGCTGATGCCTCGTATCTTCAGCTCTTGAAATGTATTCACGATGCCCGTCATCTCTTTGAAGAGACGGCCTGATTCATGGGGCAAGCCACCAGTCTTTACTTATCAGTGGTGAGCAACCCATAAATCGCATGATCACGAATACTCAACATTTATCGGAATACTCACAGGGCCGTTCATGAAAACCTTCACCTTGGGTCGGCCCCTGGCCTGAGCCACAGGAACCATTGATCTGCAACAAAATCTGGGCCTCCCTATCTTCACTGCCATAGGTATAGTACTCAATGATGCGACCGTCTTCTGCCTGCCCAGCATCCACACGTACTGACACTACCACCCGGATCAGTTTGGGATGCGGGTTCAGCACTTTGGATGGGGTGGCGGCCACAAGCCTGTTTACCTGGGTGCCAGTTGCTGAGAATTCGCCGCTTAGCGATATGCATGGATTAAGGGCGAATCAGTACTACCCTCCATAAAACGAGAAGGGGAATTGCTTCATGGTGAACCCTTGCCTGCGCATACTTTCCCCCTGCGGCAAAAATCTTGCTGACGTCGATGTCAGGAGGAGCTCCACCACAACACATGCAGCAACATCGATTTCCAGGTATCTTTGGCTGTGGCTTCAGCACAGTCACAGTCATCACCGCTTGCTCCGGAGCTACTTGTGCAATGGCCATGGCAAGAGCCAGTTGGCTGAACACATGTGCCTGCGTGAGATAACCATCCCCTGGCTGCAACTTCCAGAGCCTGGTTTGCAATTATATAAGCTTTATCTCTCGAATACAATCGAACATATAGTTAATAGTTAATACATATACCAGTGCTCCAAGATTGAAAACTGGAAACTGGTGTTGGGAACGGGGTTCATCTGCGGCACTCCGCACAGGCATCGTATGCGGCACGCATCCAGGGATCATCTACAACACTCCACCTTTACCTTTTATTAATCTGTATTAACTAAGAACAAGGATAATGCAAAAACATGTCTTAAATTGGGAGGGATATGGAGGGATCATCATGTGTCACGTCTCCTTCTTGATCCCTTTCACATCAGTATTGTGCACGATGACATTGCGGGTGGGTGGGTGAGTGGGTGGGCCAACAATCACAAACCTTTTACATCCTGTTACTACCCGTCACACGAGGGGTGTGCTGCCCACCGCGAAATCCATGTGACTACCCGTCACATCACTATTGCACACAATGATCTCTTACAATCTTTTACACATCACCATTTCTCACGATGCTCGCGCACGATGGTCTTCATATCACCATTGCGCGCAATGGTCTTGCACACTTGGTGGGCGGGTCACCTCTAAAAACTCTAAAACTCTTGATAGGATGTTTTAGCCTAGCACTTTCTCATATACTGCATAGGGCCTAGGGCCTAGGAATGCCACAAACGAACCCCCTACCGGTGCTGGTCTCACACTTACAACGACAAGGTGCCACTAAAGGTCCTACTGTATATTTCCAAAGCGGGAACTTGCTTGCTTGTAAAATGCAGGCCGTTGTGGCCTGTATGGCTCCTCTGTCGCATGGTCTAAAACCTCACAGGCTGGCGAACGATTCTGTGAATTCACTCCTTAACTCACAGTGAGTAATGCTGTTGACACACGTTGACACCAAGTCATCCTTTGTCTTGACATTCTGTCGCGTGTGTGGGTGTAAGCCGCCTACCAATGTATCCAATCCGGCGGCTTTGGCCGCGTCTAGGACAACCTGGCAGTCTCTGTATGCCCCTGCATGTTCAGCGGTCTGCGTCCCAGAACATAAAAGCACATCGAGGCTCAATAAGGTGCCGGCGTTCAAATGCGCTTGCCTTGGCCACATGCAACGCCAAAGAACCTGAGCCTCCCTCTTGTGCAATCTCTGAGGGTGTGACCCTTGAGCCCGACTCATTCCGCCAGAGTAGAAGCAAACCAGGACCTCAACACACCCTGCGGCCCTACGACAAAGGGACAGGGTCAAGCTTCAGCACCCAAGGATTTAAAGGGGCTAGAGGCATTAACGGCTCTTCTTTGTCCCTCTTGTGCTATGAACAGGCCGCTGACCTTTACTTGCAATAAGGTTCCCTTGATCGTTCTCCAGATCTCAGGTCAAAGCAGGCCGGGAATCTTTGCGAACTACGAGAACCTTTCCGACGAATGGAAAACACCAAAGCTGAACACACAAAAACAAACTCTGTTCATTTCTCTAGATTATGCAAACACCTTATGGACCCAGTTGTGATGATTGATTAGACACACTTTTTGCAGGCCACTTGTAGTCAAGAAATTATATGAATGGTCAGCGAGCGATGGTCCTTACATGTCCTTGCCATCTCAATGCACAACACTAGTTAAACAACTTTTGGGTTGGATGCACGCAGAAATGCTGTTTGCACTCTACATACTTGCTCACATGCACACTCTTGTGACTCTTGTGCTCACTTTTCTCCGCAGATCTACGGCTCTCGAATCGCTTTCCTGAGTTGACCAATCGACAAAGCAAATCAATCAAGCACGAGTCGAGTGGCCAAACTTGAGTCAATATGATGTGAATGTGAGCGTCTCTGTGCGTGTGTGGAGGGGCAAGAAGTTTGACATGGTCTATGCCATTGAATTTCGCCCTCGAAATGCTTGATGGGCTTTGGGTTGGTCACGGCCTGTCGAGATGATCGATCCTCCAAGTAGCATCAAGTTGAAGTGAAGCACTGTAACCGTATCATCATCAGTGAGGTCGGGGTAGAAACGGCGCAAAACACGTTGCAGCTCTTCCCCCGTCTCAAGGCCTGAAGTCACAAATGATCATGCAATGAAGCCAAACAACGAAAGGTGCTATCGATTTGACGGTGCTCAAGTCTGCTGCTAGGATGGGAACACTCATTCGCTGGATGGGAACACTCATTCACTTCTAGGATGGGAACACTCATTCGCTTCTAGGATGGGACCACTCATTCGCTTC